CAATGGTATCAATGTGGATTTCACAAGCTTCAAAATCTCCCCTCCCCCTACCGCATCCCAAAACCAGTCCAGCTCGTCCCCGCCTCCCTAACCTGTTCTTCCTCCCACCTATCCCCTCCTCCCACCTCAAGCCGCACCCCCATCTCCTACCTACTAACCTCATCCCGCCCCCTTGACCTGTCCGTCCTCCCTGGACTGACCTATCCCCTCCTTAACTCCCCACCTACACTCACCTTTACTGGCTCCATCCACGCCTCTTCGACCTGTTTGTTTCCTCTCCACTTACCCTCTCCTCTATCCATCTTCTATCCGCCTCCCACTCTCTCCCTATTTATTTCAGAACCCCCTTCCCTCCCCCTTTTCTGATGAAGGGTCTCGGCCCAAAACGTCAGCCTTTCTGCTCGGCCTGCTGTGTTCATCCAGCCCTGCATCTTGAAGCATGGAGTCAGTTGGGTGTCTCACCTGCATTTTGTTTGGAGACGGGGGGTGGGAAGTAGCAGTGTGCAAGTATAGGCAGATTCTGCAGCGAGAAGCTGACATGTCTGTGGTATTGATATCTGCAAGTAAATACTACCTTCTTAAAAGCATTCCTAAGTCACACTTTATACACTACACTTGCGTACTGAGTATTCTATATTATTATTATTTTGATGGGATGAAGCACCGCGTCTGGAAGGCATGTGCGTGTGCCCCTGCTTTGCATGTGTTTATGTTTGCGTTTGCATTTGTGTGCGCATACGTGTGTATGTAGAAGACTTCTGTGATGACTATACTTTGAAAGGGGTCCTTTAATCAGTAAAGTTTGAGAACCAATGATATGTGACATTAAGCCCAGGGCTCCTGTCCCACCAATGAGGTGTCACATTCAGTGGCCCTCCTGCTTGATTGGGACAGGATCAGGATTACAGTGCTATGCTTCTCTGAATGTTTGACGTTTCATGGGGAGGTTTGATCTTTCTAAATCTGGTTGCATTTAAATCCACATTTTTTATTAATGTCGATATTGTCAATATTGTCCCAAGCATCCTGAAGTTCTAAATGTTGATTATTTACCAACAAGGCAATGGCATAAGGAATCATTCTTTCCAGATTTAAAGACATATAAAATTCACAAATAGGGCATAACTGAGCGTGGAAAGTAAAAGGATCTGCAGAAGGAAGATGTTCCAACCTTATGGGTTGTCTGAGAGTGCCTGAAACCTAGAAACCATGATATGAATAAAACTCCTTTATTGTATCCATATATCTGCAACTGAATCCTCAGCTTTCTGACCCACAGGCCACAATCAGTGAGGATAGGTAACTGCACCTCCTCCACAATAACAACACTGGAGCCCCCCAAAGGATGTGTCCTCAGCCCCCTACTGTACTCCCTGTACGCTACTGTGTTGCCAAGTTCCGAATGAATGCCATCTACAAGTTCGCTGACGACATCACCATAATGGGACGGATATCGACGACTGCAGAAGGGAGATAGGGGGCTTGGTAATGTTGTACAATGAAAACAATCTGTCTCTCAACAGTCGGCAAAACTAAAGAACTGATCATTGACTTCAGAAAGAAAGGAGGAGAACACGTCCTCATCTACATCAATGGAACTGAGATTGAGAGGGTGAAGAGCATGAAGTTCCTCAGTGACGAAAACGGACAACCCGTCCTGGACTTCCCACGTAGATGCGATGGTCAAGAAGGCACAACAACGCCTCTTCTTCCTCAGGTGGCTCAGGAAATTCAGCATGTCCATAAGGTCCCTCACCAACTTCTACAGATGCACCATTGAAAGCATACTGTCCATAATGGCCTGGTATGGCAAGTGGCCTGTCCAGGACCGTAAGAAACTACAGAAGGTTGTGTGCACAGCCCAGACCATCACAGAAGCCAACCTTCCATCCATGGGCTCTATCTACATGGCTCGCTGCCGCGGAAAGCTGCCAACATCATCAAAGACCCATTGCACCCTGGTAATGACCTCCTACACCCTCTTCTGTCAGGCAGAAGATACAGAAGCCTGAACATACGCACCAGTAGGTTCAGGAACAGCTTTTTCCCGGCCGTTATCAGATTGATGAATGGACTCTCCAGCCACAAATAACGCTAATCTTGCTAATGTTTATCTTGCTTAGTGCACACTCTGTGCAATGTATGCCATAAGTCTTTTTGGTCTATACATCCTTTGCTTACTACGATCTGCCTGTACTACTTGTAAACAAAGTTTTTCACTGTATTTCAGTACATGACAATAAATAAATCAAATCAATCAAACCATGAGAACAGGAACAAAGTAACAGTCAAGTCAACAACGTTGAACATAATCCACAAAAGGAGTAACTGGACACGGTCCAGGATAAAATTGAATTACTTTTAGTCTTAATTAACTTTACCAATATTGCAAAACTATGCACATGTGAACAAATTAATTTTTGTAATTTTTAATAAAGAGCCTTATGCAAGATTATCCAGAAAGGACCTCTAAAAAGACGCATCTTAAAAATGATAGAGCTGATCTCCAGAAAGTACCTTATCAGTACTTGCTCACATGTAGTATTTGTTTTAATAGGGAAAACTAATTAATCACCCTTGACTACAGTAATTTAATTCCACAAGAGCAAAAATGTTAATTTTGGCATTTTGCCACACCAAGTTAATTATACAACCTTTACATTTCATGTAATTCTTGCATATAATTAATGATTCTTACCTTTGACCTTAGACAGGCTGAGCCTCATTCACAGCTGATTCCTCCTGTACAATACATAAGGACCTGTTAGTCCTTGAAACATTCCAAATTTGTATCTACGTAATCTGGAAAGTAGCTGAATTTCCGGATATTACGGGCAATGCAGTTTTGAAAATTTCCCCGAGCAACATAAATTGCTACAATTCAACAAACAAATCTCAAGAGTACAGGAGCGATAAAAGTAGTATGCATTCTGCAATGATTCATTGAAACAATTGGTGCTACAATTCAGTGCAACATAATTTTTACTGTTCACGGACTGCTTGCTGCAAGTCAATAGTGAAATAAAGTTGTATATATATAGAGCAGTTTTCAGTGCATAACACTGATTTGGAATGGGAAGAATGGAGAGTTTCTTATCACCATCTTTGTTGTTATTGCACATATACTAGGAGTTTGCCAATCATCTCTGTGCTCATTAAAACCAGTTTTGCTAGACTGAATGATCTTGTCCACTCCATGCAATGTAACAACCACCTACCGAGCTCATTCAACCCAGGTTAATAATGGATTTTGGCTCCATTGACAGCTCTTTTATTTCCAAGTCAGAAGACTGAGGTCAAATCTCTTTCCAGGATTGAGCATAATCTCAGATGATCCTCCATTCAATAGCGAAAAAGTACTTTCTTTCCAAATGATACATCAAACAGGGCCTTATTTATTGCTTTAAATTAATTATATTGCCATGCCAGTGAGCTTTCAGACCAGGGACAAAAACAAAAGTTGCTGGAAAAGCTTGGCAGGTCTGGCAACATTTGTGAAGAGAAAATCAGAATTAATGTTTCCCGTCCAGTGACCCATCCTCGGACCCTTCCCCTTCTGAGGAAGGGTCACCGGACCCGAAACATTAACTTGGATTTTCTCTTCACAGATGCTACCAGACTTGCTGAGCTTTCCAGCAACGTCTGTTTTTGTTCCTGATTTACAGCATCCGCATTCTTTTTTGGTTTTTATTTAGCTTTCAGACCAGGTTCGTCTTGATTTTTACCTTTTGGTGGTGTGACAAGAAGAGGTGACAATCCTTTTAATTGAGAGGTGTTGCATTCCATAGTTCTTAACAGAATAATAATGAAATGTTAATGACACGTGCAGTTATTAAGGAGCAAAGCAGCCTGCAAATTCAGAGGGATCAAGATATATGTCATTAGATGTGAATCTCCAGAACTTTCTTGTCAATTAACGCTGCTAAGCTGTTTGCTGTCACAACAGACACCTTATCCTCAGCCTTCCTATTATTTTAAATGTTATGTTTATACATTAAATGTTCATAACACCTGCTGCAGAACATTGCTGTTCAAAGTTCACAAGGTACTCATGCTGTTAAAAATGTGTTAATTGACTAAAGCAAGGTCTTTTGTGGCACAGTGGTAACGTTCCTATCTTTGAGCCAGGAGACCCAGGTTCAAGTCCTAACTGCTCCAGAATTGAATAATAACATCTCTGCCAGGTTGATTAGAAAATGTCTTGTTAAAGCAATGCAATTAACTTTTCAGGCCCAGAAAGGGAACAATATAAAATCAACTCAGTCCTGCACATTCATTGAGATTTAAAATTTTTTCTTAGCTTTTTTCCCCTCCTCTTCTCTATTACTTTCTGTACTGATTCAAATCTAATTTACTATCTTTCTCAATCTTGTTGATAATTGGTGCCACGGTTTGTTAAGCTGGCAGACTCCTTGTTGTTCCATTATAATTATACACAATCTTCCAAGTTCTTTTGAGAAAGTTGCCGGAAAAAGTTGAACTAACCTCTTCCAGCAGGATCTGGCAATATTATCTTTTGAATAACTCCTGATTATACCCCATTATTTTGACGTTGAGCTTTGTTTCCTTACTTTGTCATATGCATCCTTCCTTTGCTACTACTTTGTCATACATCAATTTTTGTGATTTAAGTGGTGGTAAACTATTTAAAGGAGAATTAGTCAAGCATAATCCTGAAATACACAAAAACAGAAATTGCTGGAGAAATTCAAGTGTGGCAGCATCTGTGGAGAGATAACAGAGTTAATGTTTTGAGTACAGTGATCCTTCTTCAGAATACTAACTGTTGTCTCTCCACAGATACTGCCAGACCTGTCGAGTTTCTCCACCGATTCCTGTTTTTCTGTGTTTCAGATTTCCAACATTTGCAGTTCTTTTGTTTAGTTTAGAGCATAATCCTGAACTCACCTCAGTTCCAATTCCAATAGGAGTCAGATAAAGGTGGCTCAGTGGTTAGCACTGCTGCCTCACAGCGCCAGGAACCTGGGTTTGATTCCACCCTCAGGCAACTATCTGCGTGGAGTTTGCACGTTCTCTCTGTGTCTGCGTGGGTTTCCTCCCACAGTCCAAAGTTGTGCAGGCTGGGTGGATTGCACATGCTAAATTGCCCGTAGTGTTCAGGGATGTGTAGATTAGGTGGATTATAGGGGGATGGATCTGGGTGGGATGCTCAGAGAGTCAGTGTGGACTTGTTGGGCCGAAGGGCCTGTTTCCACACTGTAGGAATTCTGAGTTTCAGACTAGCCACCAAAGAAATGTTGGCATAGATTAGAAGACCATCAGATGACTTTTTTCAAATCATCTGGAAAAGGCACGCTTGAAATGGCAAAAACTACAAAATTTCCAGTCAGGTGGAAATTAAACAGTTGTTATGGCCACTCCCAGCCATTTACCATTTACTAAATCTGTCCAAGTACCAAGCTTCTTCAAAAACATTTCATTCCCATGACACGTTCTCCAAGGAGTATAATTTTCTGGAACTGTGCAACCACATCCAGCTCAAAATTAATACTGGCTCGTAAGGAATTGTTATAGGGAAGGCATTGGCTGCTGCAAAGACCTTGTTCAACATGGGAATCCAAAATAATCGCTCCAAGGTTATTGGTGTAATGAGAAACCACATAGGATTTCTGAGCATACTGATGTTCCTTCAGTTGCACTTATTATGATACCCAATATTTTAAATAAACTTGCACTTTTGAACTCAGTAATTGACTACAACATTAAAAAAAATCAGATGAATAAAAACTCACTATTTCACTCTCATAGAAATTACTGCAGTCCAAGAGAATGGTGTTTTTTTCGAATCTGGGCACTGTTAGACAATGTTTCTAGTTTTCTGTGGGACTCTTCAGGAGTTAAATGAATTCCTACATTACAACTTACAAAACAAACAAAAAAAATCATTAAGTTACAGCTGTATGTAACATGCACATTGCTGCAACTAGTTTCAATTAAACACGTATTCGCTTCTACAAGATTTGTAAAAATGCCAGCAAGATCTAGTTCCCGAGCTAAATAAAGCCTGTGTTTATTTAAGATCCTGCTCTAATTCCAAAACCACTCCAGTACTCAAAACATTATCCTTTTAAGTTAATAATAATAATGGCATAAATTGTAAATGAATTACAGTGCCATTTATGAACAGATTTTTAGCTAGTCAATGCACCAGCAAACAATCCCGATCTGCTCCTTTACTTACCAGCATCTTTATAAGAAATCTTGTCAGGATCTACTCCCATGGGAGCAACCTCTTTATAAAATCCAACACGGGGGTCTTGGAAACAGTGGGATCTTCCTGCACTCTGCTTAGCCAAAAATACTTAATTAAGAATTATTTTACAGATATCAAAGATACAAATAATTTGAATGGTTTTATACATCAATGTAGGCAGTGCAATACATGAAGTTTTGAATTTGCCAGAATTGTATGAATGAACATATTAGTCATACAACACAGAAACAGAAATTTCTGGAAAAACTCAAGTGTGGTAGTGAACCCAAAATATTAACTCTAATTTCTCGCCACAGATGCTGCCACACCTGCTGAACTTTTCCAGCAATTTCTGTTTTTGTTTCTGATTTCCACCGTCCACAGCTCTTTCAGTTTTTATTTAGCATGGAAACAGACCCTTCGGTCCAACTCATTTATGCTGAACAGACATTCCAATCTGACCCAGTCCCATTTACCACAATTTGGCCAATACCCTTGTAAACCCTACCTATTCATATACCCATACAGATGCCTTTTAAATGTTGCAATTGTACCCATCTCCACTACTTTCTCTGGCAGTTGTTCCATACAGGCACCACCCTCTGTTGGAAAAAGTTATCCCTCAGGTTCTTTTTAAATCTTTCCCCTCTCACCTTACATCTGTGCCCTCTAGTTTTGGACTTTTGGATAGGAAAAAGATTTTGGCTATTCACCCTATCCATGCCCCTCATGATTTTATAAATCTCTAGAAGGTCACCCCTCAGCCTTGAACGCTCCAGGGAGAAAAGCCCAGCCTATTCAGCCTCTCGCTATAAATTAAATTCTTCAGTCCCAGCAATATCCTTGTAAATCTTTTCTGCACCGTCCCGAGTTTAACAATATTCTTCCTCTAGAACGGCGACCAGAATTGTATGCAGCATTCTAAAAGGGACTGCACCAATGTCCTGTGCAGCTGCAACATGATGTCTCAACTCCTATACTCAATATTCTTACCAATAAAAGCAAGTGTGCCATACACCTTCTTCATCATGCTGTCTACCTGCAATGCCACTTTAAACAAATTATGCACCTGTACCCCTAGGTCTCTCGGTTCAGCAACACTCCTCAGGGCCCTACTATAAATTGTATAAGTCCTGCCCTATCAAAATGCAACACCTTATATTTATCTAAATTAAACTCCTTCTGCCACTCGTCGGCCCATTTGCCTATCTGATCAAGGTCTCAATGTGCTCTGAGATAATCTTCTTCACTGTCCAATACACCAACTATTTTGGTGTCATCTGCAAATTTACTAACCACACCTCCTATATTCACATCCAAATCATTTATATAAATGGTGAAAAGCAGTGGACCCAGCACTGATTGTTGTGGCACACCGCTGGTCACAGGCCTCCAGTCTGAAAAGCAATCCCCCACCACCACCCTCTGTCTCCTACCTTTAAGCCAATTTTATATCCAATTGGCCAGCTCCCCTGAATCTCATGTGATCTTACCTTACTAACCAATCTACCATGCAGAACCTTGTCAAATAAAATGGTGAATGCAAAAAATAATCAGTTTTCAAAACACAATCTGAACTCTTGGTTCAGAAAATGGCCTCAGGTTATAAACTAAATCACTCTTACCTACAAGATAAATTTGTTTGCAAAATTCAAATGCATGGATAAAAAAACTGAGCAGAGACTAATGAACAGATGGCAGACCACGGTGAACGGTTATTTTTTTGACTGGACGGTGTACACAATGGTGACTCCCTGGGGTTTCTGCCCTTCAACAGAGACACCTGGATTACAGAGAATGAAACTGGGCTCTAATGGTGAAATTCAGAGATAGTAGGAACTGCCGATGCTGGAGAATCTGAGATAACAAGGTGCAGAGCTGGATAAACAGAGCAGGCCAAGCAGCATCAGAGGAGCAGGAAAGCTGACGTTTCGGGACTGGACCCTTGTTCAGAAATGGGGAAGGGGAGGGGGAATTCTGAAATAAAGAGAGAGAGAGAGGGGGAGGTGGATGGAAGATGGATAAAGGAGCAGATAGGTGGAGAGGAGACGGACAGGTCAAGGAGGCGGGGATGGAGCCAGTAAAGGTGAATGTAGGTGGGGAGTTAGGGTGGGGGGTGGTCAGTCCATGGAAGACGGACAGGTCAAGGAGGCGGGGATGAGGCTGATAGGTAGGTGGTGGTGTTGGGGGTTGAGGTGGAGGGAGTGAATAGGTGGGAGAAAGGACGGGTTAGGGAGGCGGGGACGAGCTGGGCTGGTTTTGGGATGCGGTCGGGGGCGGGGAGATTTTGAAGCTTGTGGAGTCCACATTGATACTATTGGGCTGCAGGGTTCCCAATTGAAATATGAGGTGCTGTTCTTGCGACCTTGGGGTGGCATCGTCGTGGCACTGGAGGAGGCCCAGGAGGGACATGTCGTCCAAGGAATGGGAGGGGGAGCTGAAGTGGTTCGCGACTGGGAAGTGCAGTCATTTGTCGCGAACCAAGCGTAGGTGTTTCATAAAGGTGTTTCGGGCCTGCTGTGTTCATCCGGCTCTACACCTTGTTATCTCAGATTCTCTAGCATCTGCAGTTCCTACCATTTCTGAAACAACTTCATTAACCCCTATTTTTGCAGTTATTTCAAATACTACACTTATTTAAGTAAAGAACATTAATTTTGCATTTTTATAACTTCTTACCACTTTGACTCTGAAAGTTCAGGGACAGCATGAAAGCAAAAGATAAAGCACATGACATGGTGAAGATTAGTGGGTAGCCAAAAGGATTGAGAAACCTTTAAAAGCCAGCAGAGGATAAATGAAAATGCAGTGAGGCGAGAGGGTGGGGCAAAATATCAGGGTAAGCTGTCTAGTAATATAAAAGAGGATTGCAAGAGTGCTTTTTTCGATATATAAAAGGCCAGAGTGGACATTAGACTGCAAGAAAACGAGGCTGGAAAAGTAGTAATGGGGAACAAAAAAATAGTGGTGGAACTACATATGTACTTTGCATCAGTAAGACACCAGCAGTGTTCCAGAACTTCAAGAGAGTTAGAGGCAGAGGTGGGTGTAGTGACCATCACTAAGGAAAAAGTGAAGCTGAAAGGTCTGAAGGTGGATAAATCACCCGGACTAGAGTTCTGAAAGATATAGCAGAGGAGACTGGAGAGCATTGTTGGTGATCTTTCAGAAAAGATTGGAGTCAGAGGGTCCTAGAGGACTGGGAAACGGATCTAACACCATGTTTAAGAAGGGAGAGATGCAGAAGACAGGAAACTATAGGTCAGTTAGCCTGACCTCGGTTGTTGTCAAGATTTGACAGTTCATTAAAAAGGATGAGATTGTGGAATACAATACTTGGAGTGCGTGGTAAAATAGGGCTGAATCAGCAAGTCTTTGTCACGGGGAGGTCACGCCTGACAAATCCGTTAGAATTCTTTGAGGAGGTAACGAGCAAGTTAAACAAAGAGTCGTCAGTGAACGTGATATATCGAGATTTCCAGGAGGCCTTTGACAGAGTGTCACAGTTAGGGGTATGATACTGGCATGGATAGAGGATGGGATGACTGGCAGAAGGCAGAGAGTAGGGACAAAAGGTCTTTTCCAGAATGGCAGGTGATTACAGTGTAGTTCCATAGGGATTAGTGTTGGCACCACAACTATTCATGTTATACATTAATGATCTGGGCGAAGAACCTGATGGCACTGTTGCTAAGTTTGCAATGACACAAAGGTAGATGGAGGGACAGGTAGTGTTGAGGAAGTGGGGAGGCTGCAGAAGGACTTGGACAGGCTAGGAGAGTGGGCAAAGAAGTGGCAGCTGGAATACAATGTGGGAAAGTGGGCGTTTAGGCACTTTGGTAGGAAGAAGAGGCACAGACTATTTTTTAAACAGGGAAAGGCTTCGGGAATCTGAAGCACAAAGGGACTTGGGAGTGCTAGTTCAGGATTCTCTTAAGGTTAACATGGAGGTTCAGTTGGCAGTCAGGAAGGTAAATGCAATGTTAGCATTCATTTTGAGCAGACTTGAATACAAAAGCAGAGGTATACTGCTGACGTTGAATACGGTTCTGGTCAGACGATGCTGAGAACATTGAGAGCAGTTTTAGGCCCCAAAGCTAAGGGTGGACGTGCTGGTGCTGGAGAATGTACCGAGGCGGTATTCAAGAATGATCCCAAGGATGAACAGCTGGTCATACGAGGAGCAGTTGAGGGCTCTGGGTCTGTGCTCGATGGCATTTAGAAGAATGAAAAGGATCTCATTAAAACTTATACAATACTGAAAGGCTTAGATTGAGTGGACGTGGAGAAGATGTTTTCACTAGTAGGAGAGATTAGGATCTGAGGGCACAGCCTCAGAGTGGAGGGACAACCCTTTAGAACTGAGATGAGGAGAGGGTGGTTAATCTGTGGAACTCACTGCTGCAGAAGGCTGTGGAGACCAAGTCATTGAGAGTATTTCAGGCAGGGAAAGATAGGTTCTTGATTGGTCAGAGATCAAGGATCACGGGGAGAAGGCAGGAGAATGAGCACAGGGACAAAAGTTGATGGGTCAGGGATTATAAAAAGACAAGGAGGAGACTAACACCTCTAATTTAACCATAGCTGATGCAAATTTTTGACATTTTTTTCTCTGCAAATGTGCTTTTATAATGTGATAGAATCTGCTCTGCCTTTATCTTAAAGTCCTCTGTAGACGTAGCTTGAAATTGTGGATGAGAAAGCATCGTTTGAATGTACTGTTCAGTTGCTCTCTTGTATCCGTCAACGGTTCCATTAATGCCCTCTTTAGAAATGCAGACCTGAAAGAAACATTGCAGTTGAGCTAAATAATTCAACACATACCCACTGCCCTTTTACAACAAGTCTAACTTATTTTTTGATTTAACCTTGCCCCAATTTCCTTGGAGCTACTTTGTATACTAATTTTGCTATAGTGATAGAACCAGTGAACTACTACCAAGCAATCTGGGCGGCACAGTGGCTCAGTGGTTAGCACTACTGCCTCAAAGCACCAGGGACTTGGGTTCGATTCCAGCCTCGGGTGACTGTCTGTGTGGAGTTTGCATGTTTTCCTTGTGTCTACATGTGTTTCCTCTGCGTGCTCCGGTTTCCTCCCACAGGGCAAAGACGTGCAGGTTAGGTGGATTGGCCATAGTAAGTGAGGGGGTATGGGGGCAGGATGGGGGAGCTTGTTCTGGGTGGGATGCTCTACAGTGGGTTGGTGTTGATTTGATGGGCCAAATGGCTTCTCTCTACACTGTAGGGATTCTATGATCTACACGGTAAAGTGACAATCACTATAAGCTAGATAATGGGCAACACTGAAAACTTACTCACAGTTCCTCGGACAGCATAATTATGTTCTTTACCCAGATATCACAGGCAAACACAAAAATAGAGTGCAAATTGAGGATGCCAAAAATAAAATAACTCCGAAGGAATCTATCTTCTACCTTGCCTGTTAAGTGCAGCTGACGACACAGGGCTTTTTGCCAGGTGCAGATCAGTTGTGGCTCCTCTATATCACAATGCGAGTGATATAACAGCACTTCGCTCGCTACACTAGGGGAAAAAAATGAATACTTATTAAATCCAATAATCAAGACTATAGCAAAGTCTTTTTCTTTACAAGGAAAAAGTTAAATAATAAGAGATAAGCCAATTTAGAAGAGACTCCCTACTGCACAATAGGAATTAATTGACTTGAAGTAAATAAAAATTCTTCTTGTAACTCTACGAAATTCCTCACTGTTTCTACTCTCAGAGAATAGTAAACAAGAAGGGTTAGGGTTAGGTGCATTACAGTGACAGCAGATGGGTGGAATGAGTTTTGTTGGAACAATGATGGACAATTTGGTCATTCCTTCTTTTCCCATCTTCCAAAGCTCTGCAACTGGACTCACAGTGTCGAAGATTTTAATTTAGTCACACACCGGAGCTTTAGACTTCGAGGTAAAGAGGCTTTATTTGTGATATCACGGGGAGCCAATGCTGACAAAAGGTCAGGTCCGTAGTCACCGACGAGTACAAAAACAAGTCAATACTTATACACGCTTTTATAGATTGAGATAGTTATTATAAGCACATAAGCCCGGATAGTTTATCACATCCCCTTAAGGCAGGCCTTATAAAATGTCATACGTCTTGGTTCCACAACTTGTGGTTGCTGATACGTTATCTTTAAGTGGAATGTGTCTTAAGCTTTAGGTCAACATTGAATCAGGAATTCTAAGCTTTCTACAGATATGCAACAATTTGTCGCATATCTCTTACTTGACCTATTTTCCCATCATTTCAACCTCTAATTCTAAGCTTTAGCTACTTCCTACATCTATTTGCTCCAGACACTTTAATTATTCTTCCACACATAGAATTGATTTTCAAATTTGTGCTCAACATACTTTAGAGTCTACTGCAGCATCATGTTTGCTTCCTCATTATGCTCGCATTGAACAGTCTGCAATTACCATGTATATTGTTTGACCAGACACTTGGAATGGGAGAGAGCCACTTTGGGGTTTGAATGGTGAAACTTTCACTCCCTTCCACCGAGAGCCAAATCATCCTCAGATTTCAACCAACGATGATGTTGGTCCAGCTGAAAGGTGTACACAAGGATGCTCTTCATGTGCATCATTCATTCAGAATGTACATATACAATGACAATCCCAGTATTTACTACATACAACGCTGTATTTGACGTTTTGTATGAATGTACAATGCCTCCTTAAGATTCAGTGTTGAAAGTTTAGTTGCTGTACTTTGATTATATGTGTTAAGATCCTAATCATAGACAAATCATAGACAAACCCTAGACTGAGTGATTAAAAAAACTACTTATTTATCAAGATTTAGGGGTTGGTTGCTCAGCTGATTGGACAGCTGGCTTGCATGGCCCAGTGACGCCAACAGCTTGGGGTTCAATTCCCAAACTGGCTGAAGTTAGCATAGAGGTCCTTCCTTCTCAACTTTATCCAACCTGGAACTCAAAAGGACCAGAGTGAAAATTCACACAATTAGATGAACAATTCAGCCTATCGAGCAAGTTCTGCCATTCAACGTGATCACACTGATCTTATCACAGCCTCAACTCTACTTTCCTGCCTGCTCCCCATAATTCTTCAACACATTACTAATTAAAAATCTGCCTATTCCCTCCTCAAATTTACTCAATGTCCCGTCATCCACTGTACTCTGGGGTAGCAATTTCCAGATTCGCACCCCTTTGAGAGAAGTAATTTCCCATCTGTTTTAAATCTGCAACCCCTTATCCTAAAACATTGACTTCTCATTTCAGAATAGCCCACAACAGGATCCATCTTCTCTACATCTATTTTGAGGTATATAAGTTGCTAAAGGAAATTGACAAACAGATCTTCTCTCATTCTTCTAAACGTGAGACAGTATAGACCTAAACTCCCCAACCTCTCAAGACAAATCCCTCATCTCTGGAATCAATCTATTGAACCTGCTCCCAACTGTGTCCAGTGCAACTACATCGTTCCTCAAGTAAGGGGACCAAAACTGTATGCAATACTCCAGGTCAGTACCACTAATGCTTTGTACAGTTGCAGCAACACTTCCCTACTTTTACAGCTATTCCTTTAGCATTAAATGCCAAAATTCCATTTGCCTCTCTTATTGCCTGATAAAGCTGCATATTAACTTTCTATTGGTCACGCACAAGGACACCCAGATCCCACCACGCCGAATCAGTGAGTTTTCTTTCCACTTTGATAACAAATTGCCTTTCTATTCTTCCAACCAAAAGGGAGAACCTTACACTTATCCATGTTAAACTCCATCTGCCTAATTTTGGCTCATTCACCTAATCTATCCATATCTATTTGCAAGTTTCTGTTATTTCTTCATTGTAATTTACTTGCCGATCTACATTAGTGTCATCTGCAAATTTGGCTATTGCACCTTTATCCCTGCATCTGTCATTAATACACATTGTAAATAGTTGGGGCCCAAGGACGAAACCCTATGGCACCCCACTTGTTACATCTTGCCAGCCAGAAAAAGACCAATTTATCCTGACTCTCTGCTTTCTGTTGGTTAGCCAATCCTCTATCAAAGTTAATAAATTACCCAACCCCACATGATCGTACATTGTGTATTAACTTTTGGTGCAATGCCTAATTAAATGCCTTCTGGAAGTCCAAATATACAATTACGGGTTTTCCCATTATCCACTTATTTGTTAAAATTCTTCAAAGATGTAACAAGCTAAGTTAAACATAATCTACCCTTCATAAAACCATGCTGAGTCTGATTTTCTTTAAAACAGTTTCAACATAAGCAGTTCATTTAAACAGAGTGAGATCACCATCTAATATCAATTTATTGCCATTGTTGTGGGAGAGAATCTGATTAAAACTCAGAAGGTCCAAACTTTACAGAAAACTTTAAAGCAACTGGAAGGAAGAGACTTAATTTTCTCTGTAACGGATAGATTTAGCTTGGGTAAAAATGAATGTCAATATGCTAAATATAGTCTGCCAGTCCATTAAGTTATTTCTATATTTATCTACTTATGGGGAATCTGGATATTTCATCTTCATAAGTCAAATCTTGATTAAAGTTGGTTGCTACATCAATTGAGTGTAAATCCATTGTGCATTTTTTAATATTCATGCAGATTCCATATGAGTGAGAAAAGCAGAATGCGTATTTATTTATATTCTTGCTCGTGTTGAAATGTGGAAAGCCAGAGTTGGTTGTACCTAGATTTATCAATTATACCATAAAGACTGGGCAATTAATACTCATTTAATTGAACAATTCTGAGAGGGGCACTATTTAAACCTGGCAACGCTGATAAACAAAAGTGTAACTTCAATGCTTAGACTCTCTCAAGTGTAATACATAGAAAGCTTCCAGTACAGGGAAGTGCCAACCCAATTTGAGAAATGATTTTAAAGCATCATGAAAGTCTAATTAATCTTTTCCAGATTATGAGGTAATTTTAGTGATACAAAGTATTTTAAAATTAAATAATTTTCTGACATTACTATAGTTTCAAATTTAAAAACATAGGCTTTTTCAAACAACAAAGCCTGAAAGTGCAAAGGTATAACTAAAGAGTTGAATGCTTTCATAATTCAGTGTAACTAACAAAAGACTCTTACGAAATTCTTACCACTTTACTTCATCAAAATTTATGTGACTTGCATCAGGCAACCACTTGGATTATGTCAAATTCTTTTTCAGTTCCACTGTGCTGTGGTGATACAACATTGTGATCTGAAGAATCAGATACTCATCAACTTGTTATTTTGGGCAAACATCTTCAGTGTGTTGTAAAAGCTCAGGCATACGTTCATCGGCCACATGCTTGCGAATATCCTCCTCTTTGTCAAACTGCTGCCCACAGCATTCCCAATGAACACCTGGCCTATCAAATTCTCGTGTTGAGGTGCTGCCAACTTTAGGTACTTGTCTTGATTTGATAAAGAAAGCGAATGCCTATAAAATGGGTATATATGTAAATTAAAGTACAATACCGTAGGAAAACTATAGGGGATACATTTGATAGCTTATCTTAAATACTTAGCAGAAAGCAACATGCAACTCTTTGTTGATTATTGCAGATTGTGGATCATTTGGTCCACAAATCTGGTCACAATATAATCAGTATTCCTCACCAATAGCAAATTACCATTTTAATTATATGTCTCAAAAATTATGAATTTTTGAAATAATTTGCTTTCAGTTCTTTTTATGCTCAGGATCAAGCATGCATCATAGAATATTCCTAGATCTATGAAAATTACTTTTATGCAGCATCATAAATATCAGGGTTCAAGGAGAATTCTGCATGAAAGGAAGCATTCTAGAAAAGGGTTACAACTAATAAGACCAAAGTCAAAATGTCAGTTTTTGCAAGTGAAACAGCTTCACGTTTTCACCAGGATATAAAACATTGCAAGTAACATTTGTCACTATAGTCTAATCCTTATCGTCAAGCGTTAGGCTGATTGTTATTTGTACCCGAGGTGTCCCCGGCCCATGAAACAATCCGATGACTAATAGCTGCAAAACGTTTTTGGTCTGTCAAATGACAAAATCTGTCTTGACCCTCGCGGGTTCACATCCTACCCTTGACTCAACCCCTCATACCCTCCCCCCCAAGCTCTCAGCCTTCTCCTGATCACCACTCCACCCCATCCCTGCGGGCTCCCACCCTCTCCCTGACCCTTGACCCTACCTTCAGGCTCTCACCCTCCCCCTGACTCCTGACCCCCGACCCCCCTGGGCTCTCACCCTCTCCCTGAACCTGACACCGACCCTGACCTTGCACCCCGCCCCCCCCCCCCGCGGGCTCTCACCCTCTCCCTGACCCCGACATCCCCGCGGGCTCTACCCTCTCCCTGACGCCCAACACCCCCACACCCCCTCCATGTGGGTGCTCACCCTCTCCCTACCCTCCCCCCACTACCTCGGGCTCTCACCCTCTCCCTGACACCGACCGCACCCCCGCGGGCTCTCACCCTCTCCCTGACACCGACCGCCTCCCCGCGGGCTCTCACCCTCTCCCTGAC